CGCAACCGCCGAGGCGATGGAGAACTCAGAGCAGGACTCAACTGGCTGACGTCGATGCCGCTTTATTAGTGGTCGACCGCGGGCGCTGCGTCGCAGTAGCGAGCGCGACGAAGGGGCCCTTCCTGTACGGCACAGGCGGCTCTTCATAGGCCCGGGCGGCTTCCACGCGGACCGCGCCCGCGGCTGCCTTACTCTGCCGCTTCTCGGAGAGGCCTTCCGCGCGCCGCCTCTTGTCCACGCCACGCGCCGCCCCTAAGCTTCACCTGACGTTTGACGAAGCCCCGCGGCCTTCCACCGCCGCCCCGCAAGCACGGGCTGGGGGCCTCCTCCCCGCCGCCGCCCGGCAGTCCCACGGCACGGGTGGCACAGCCGACCGCACGGCAACTCGCTCCCCGGCAAGGCGCGACTGGTCAACGCCGGGTGCTGGTTGATGCCGCGACATCCTGTGCTAGAAACCGCGAACTTGTGGGAGGAACACTACTGGTTTTTTACTTTCTCCGACAAAGTGGGATACGTGGCCCTCGAATTAATATGGTGAGTTCCACAACAACTTTGGTGAGGTGGAAGGATTCACTATTTATACAGATATATAAGTATCTAAATGTGCAGCTGCGCTTTGTAAGAGTTTTATTTACTCTTTTTCCTCTCGCAATCGCCCTGCCATCTTCCCCGTCCTCGTCCTGTACTTTTATAACAGCGGTAACAACTACCGCAGCCACCGCGCCGACACACAAAAACAGGGGAAAAGGGTAAGACACAGGGCGTGCGACCACGCCGCGCAGGGGGAAGGGACAGCGGCAGGCAAAAAAAAAAATGCGCACGCAATGGTTAGTTCCACCGCCCCACAAAAAACAACCGGTGGTAAGAAGAGGAGTTAAAAAGTTAAAACAACCATTGCTTTGCGGTATTGGTCCAGTCGGAGAACCTCTCGCTTCCGCCGTTCTTCGTGTGTGTGACCGTCTTTTTTTTTTAAATTATTTCCTTTTTGCTTTTCATATGCGTCGCCGCGTGCCCCAACACCGCCACCAACCTCAGCGGCGGAAGGAGAAAAATGGAGGGGACGGATTCAGCTAGATCTTCCTCCTTTCTTCCTGTGTTTCCCCCTGTTTGTGTCCTCGTCATTTGTTCTCACCCCTCCCTTAGCTTCTCCCACGCGCCGGCCAACGCCTCATCAATGACATCCTTCATGCGAAGATCCATTTCCGACGCGGTTTCCGCAAAAAGGCGACGCTCAAAGAGGACAATGTGATCGGCCGTGCCTGCACCCTTTAATTTGGCCAGCGCCAACAGCTCGCGAGCCACAAGTAGCGGGCGTCGTGCCACGGTGTAAAACTCCAGAGCCAACAAGTGAGCCTCCGCCGAGGCCAAATTGTGGTTGAGGTAGGGAAGAAGATACCGTTCAGCTTTTTGAAGTGAGTTAGAAAGATCCACGTCAGCTAAATAGTACTCTTTGCGCAGCTGCATCAAGCGTTTATTTTCCTCAACATCGGGGCAGGGCTCAAGTTCGGGGCGGGGAACGTGTTTTGCGCGCACGGCCTCCTCGCCTTCTTCGTACACCTTCAAATACGTGCGAACGATACGTGGGCAAAGTTTTAGAAAAAATTTATTTCCATTCAGATCATCATCGCGGGCCAATACATCGAACCAAGCCCGCATCGTGCAGCGTCGAAAAACATAATTATGAAAGTCTAACAATTCCGCGTGATTACGTGTGTGGTGTTCCTCATACATGAGGTAGTTTGCCAGCGCGGAAATGTAATCCCCCTTTCGATAGAAGGCATCACCCACCTCACGCTCGTACCAAGCACACTGAGACTCCAGTGCCGTAAGGTAGGTGTCCCCAGGTGCTGCACTGGCCTTGTAAAACATTTGCATTCGCTCTTCAGCTTCCGCAATATGATTGGCACGGAAAAAATACTTGGCGGCCTTACCATTAAGATACTTGTCTTGTAAGTCCAATTGGCGTGCCTTGTCCGCATGCATGGCTGCCTCATCGAACTCTTGGTTCCTTTCATGTATTTTGGCCTTCATTAAATACAGTAGTTCCACGGTTGGTGTGTGATCAATGGCAAGGTTAATGTAATGAAATGCCTGATCAAACTGACGCAGACGACAATAGTGTGACGACAAATACATCCAAATCCATAAGATATACGACGGATTTGACTTTCCACCAAAGCTCGAGAAGTCATTCCTCTTAACTTCATCTTCCCACTGCAAAAACGCCGCGCCGATTTCCTTGGCGCGTTCAGGATCCTTATAAAGCGACTTCAGCACACTGAACAGTGATGGAATCATTTTGGCAATAAATACCGAGGCGTATTCACAAAGACGTTTCCTAAACTCCGTCATGGGGACAAAATCTAACAGGTGTCGCCGGGCGTAGTCACATTTTGGGTAGACGTCAAGGACTTGCTGAAGAATTTCCAGGTATTTGCCCTCGTCACGCTTCGGACATCGATGCGCGTCAAGTGGAATCTTACGGAGATGGGCAATGGCCGCAATACAGTCCGCTTCCGACACCCCACGACCAATCAATTCCATGTAACGCTTTTCGGCATCTGCTTTTTGACCAAGCAGGGCATGCGCCTTAGCGCGTAGGCGTAGCTTCTCCTCCTCATCCACAATCTCGGCACCATGCTTCTTGAGGAGTTCCAGAGCTCGTGCCGGCGCGTTATGGGAAAGTTCCAGTTCTACAAGGTAGAGAAACACCTCGCTCCTTTCTACCGCCGTGTCTCCAGCGTCCATGATGGTCGTCATGACGTCAATCACTGCAGCTGCTAGTTCTGTTTGTCGCAACATGCGATGTCCACAGGAAAGAGCAATCCAGTTGGCACGAACACCCGCTTTTAATGTCACCATTTTTTGGCGCGTCTCCACAAATTGTTCCCAATCTCGCACCTGAACACAGACGGACGATAAATCGCGCAAAACATTTGCGTTGGAAGGGTCTGTTTGATGCGCCTGTTTAAACGCCTTGACAGCCTCAGGGTAATTCTTCTCGGCCCTGTGACAAAGTCCCAGCGAGTGCCATGCCATGGTAGAATGAACGTTAAGCTCAATAGCTTCCTTAATGGCCGCATGTCCTTCTGCCCTGCGGTCGAGATAATGTAGCGTGAGGCCTTTCATAGCAATGGTATCGGCATGAGAGGGGATGACGGCCAATATGGCCTCCGCGGAGCGCAGCGCCTTTGCGTACTCACGGGCATCTAACTCACGACCAAGTTTCTCGAACTGTTTTTGCTGTGCCGGAGGAAGTACCGTCGCCATGATGAGGATGTCTCCGCGCTCGGAGGATTTGACTTGCTGCCTATCCAAGTCAACGGGCACACACCCAACGCCAAAAAAAAAGAAAGGAAAGAATTAAGTGCTGTTTAGGGATAGGATAACTCAACAAGTACGCCTATATGCCCTAGTGTGGTGCCCACTTCACCGTAGTCTTCTTCCTTTACAAGAATATAATGTAAGGGCGAGAAGCAAACCGGGTATGAGGGAGAGAGGCCAGAAAAAAAACGAAAAAAAAAGAAATGTCCACTACCAGCACCACTCATATCAATTACACGGTTGACCATGCAGCAAATAACAGCAGTAGCGGGGCAGTCCAAAATGCAACGATGCAAACTCCATCAAGCTAACTGTTTCACGAAGACGACAGCGACAGCCGAGACGAAATCAAAGGCATACCTTTGCCTCTCCCACCAGCTTTCTTTGCGTCTCACTCCTTCTCTCCTTAAGCACCCCCCTCTCTTCCCTTTCTTTTAAACTTACTTTTCATGTGAGGAATGGGACACGATTTCGCCCCCGCGCCTCAGACGCGTACAGTGCGGTCAGCCAAGACGAATCCCCTATCCATATCCACCGCCTTGACACGGTACTCAGTCGCGCCGACTGGGAGTCCAGGCACCGACACCGACATGACTCCAGCATCGAACGTCAGCGTTGTCGACGCGGACGGCGCAGGTAACACATTGGGGTCCTCCGCTTCCAATGCTGCTGGCGCCTCCGACGATGGCAATGGCGCCTGCGTAGCAGTAATTTGCAGAATAGTCTTCTCCATCACCTCTTCCTTGATGCCATCGACACGAATGGAAACATCGTCACCTGTCAGTCGCTCAACCACCACACTCGTCGCCGCCTGTTCCTTGGATTCCGCCAAACTCACTAGATAGTTCGTGTGGCACGCAAAGAGGATAGCGGCCGCCAAGAGTCTTGGAAAAAACTGGATGGTCAAAAAGATAAGCAGAAAATCCCATAAATGGCGCGCGCAGAGACGTTCTTTGTTGTGCTTCGAGACAATGTAAATGAACACGAGAGTCATTCCCATGAAGAGGCCTACACCATCACCCAAAAAGCGCATCTGTGCCTTGCGTCTCGCCTGATCGGAGAATTCAAAGCCCGCCTCAGCCATTTTGCTCCTGCCCGGGGCCTCCTTGGCGTTGGAGGCGACATGCTCGTACGCCTCCCTGATGCTTTGAAATGCAGCCTTGGCGTCTGGTGGCGCGCTCGGATTGTCGGGGTGGTAGTGTTTCGCAAGGACGCGATAATGCTCCTTGATCCTCTGAAGATCGTGCACCTCCTCGCAAAACCCAAGGCGGTGGTAATAATTGCTGTCATCCCAGTGGGCGGCATTAATTATCAGCTGCTCCAACGGTGTTGTCGAACAACTTCGGTGAGGGCAGAAAAGAGCACGTAAAACGCCACTTCCATGATGCCTCATGGAATTCATTGGGGTGGCTTGAAATGGACGCCTGACGAGACTTCTTGCAGCTCTTCGCATGGCTGCAACTGGCCAGGATACAGTTCTTTTGCGTGGTTTGAGTTGCCCGGAAAGGGCAAAAAACAAAAATAAAACGGTGTGAAAGAAAGAAACACGATAATAAACAAAACACTTCTCTTCTACATGGCTCACAGGCACAGAGGAATACATGCATTGCAGACCCTTACTCTTACTTTCACTTTCACTCACTTCCACGCACAGCACACGTAAGCAGTGGAAGTTTTATATATATATATATGTTTACGGCAATGACTGGGCTATAAAGAGAGGGGGTAATCGGTAAAGTAAGAACAACATCTATTCACAATCCGTGTCTTCTTCGAATGTCAGACAAAATGGCGGCAGCGTCTTCGTAACTTGTACCATGAATTGCTAGAGGAAACTCGACAGCTGGGGCAACCTCCTCCTGCTTACTTTCTGCATCTGGCAAAGGATCGCTTGCGATGACAACAATCTCTCTACTGCGGCCTGGGAGTGGAATGGGTGGCACGACAGGCACCGTCGACCGTACTTCTGAAGCTACTCCTTCTTGATTTACCACACGCAGCGTTGTCGATGATACGGGCCCACCTGTAGCATCGGTGCAGTCAAACTGCACAGGTGTATTAGATGCGTCTCCTCCATTTGACGTCTTTTTATGGGAAGAGGCTTGTGGGCTTTCCATCCGAGCAGCCAAACTACTGCGAGGTGCCACAGCCTGAGGTCGTAGACGATCCTCAAGTCGTTGAATTGTCACTTGCTGTTCCCCAATCATACGACTACTCTGCTCCTCCACCTCTAGGCGCTTGCGCCGCTCATCACGCAGCTGAGCCACCAAGGAACGCACAAACCCACGTGAACGCGGAGTCATTGCCCTGAGTGAACCGTTGCAACATGCCTCATAGGAGCTCTGCCGCCCCTCAAATTTTGCGTAGGTCCGCCGCACCTCCTCATCGATTCCCCCATCGTTTTCCAAGTGGTTCATGAGTTGAAGATCATGATTGAGACTTTGCTGTCGAAAAGAAATAAGTGCATCCTTTTCCTTCTGCAGTCTAATGTTCATTCCTCGCAGTTCATCAATCATGCGGTCTTGCTCCCGCACCAAGGCGGCATAGGCGTCCAGACGCTGTTGCATGTGGGCCAGGCGTTGCTTTTCCCCCACTGCACAGCGTGAGAGGCGGACGACGACGTCCTGCAGCTGACTCATGAGTTCCACCTGCGGCTCATTTGTTGGTGGTACGTTGGCCACCAACGCGGCGGCGGGAGTTGCGACCGCCGTAGAGTACGAGAGTCGAACAGGTGTCCCTTGCGACGGCGTATTCACCGCTGCGGCCCTTCGGCGCCCCGCTCCGCCCCCATTTGTACGAATGGAGCTGTCCCACGGCCTGGGATCGGTGGAGCGGACGCGTCGCCGCACTTCAGCCGCCGCCGCCGCCGCCGATTTTGGGCGCCGCTGCGATGACGGCCGCATGACGAGCAACGCTGGCGCCTCCGCTTCGCTCCGCTCCGGCGGAAAACGAACTTATCCCTCACTCCTTTTTGTACTTTTTGTTGTCTCACGCGTGCCGGCCGCCCTGTAGCGCGCACCTCTTGCCCGGCCTTCTCCACTGGCTTTCTTTTTGCGTTTCCCTGTGGAGCTGCTGGAAGAAGAAAGGCCGAAGGCAAAAAGGAAAAAAAAACAAAAGAATATTGCACCACACACCCACACACACACACGCGGTTAAGGGGGGGGGAAGGAGATTCATTTCCCCACACCACGAGAAAGGAAGGAGCACCATCGAATTAACCCAAACAACAACATATGACCAAGTTGCACCACTCTACACACGTTCGTTTGCTGGAATTTTAATACTGAACTATGTCAGACTGAAGACGACGAAACTCCTCTTCAGAGCGCATAAGTATCTCTCGTTGGCGACGAACCTCATCCTCCTTTTGACATAGCATGCGGATTTTTTGCTCCTGCAAACGTGCCCGATTATCTTCTTCCTCAATGCTGAGCTCGCGCTCGAGCCGCGCCGATTCCTCGCGAGCACGATTCAATTCTTCCTGCAACGCAGACTCTCGTCGCCGTTGCTCTTCCAATCGCATTTTTGTGGGCGAAATACCTATGCTGCTATTTGTAGACGCGCCTGAGGTGTTATGTCTACACGATGCGTTTCTTAAAAGAGTCGCACTTTTCTGCGGTGAATCCAACATCGAGTGCAGCGCAGACGCGGCACAACTTTGCGATGGGGGACGAGGCGGAGGAAGATCCTTCTGCACATCCGTGTGCCATGCGCTCTGCGGCTGAAATACGTACAACTGGTCGTACTCGTGCATCTGGGTCTGCGAAACCAGATCCACCCACTTCAAGAGCGCATCGTCGTAAATCTGAACGCGAACAATGGCGAAATCAACCACCGGGTACCCTGATGGACGCCGCATGTTGGCCTCCGCCTCAAACACCTCCAACGCCTTTCGTTGCAGCTCCGCGATTGTCGGCGCGGAAGGGAAGCCAAGCTCCAAGTTGCACTTCTCCCCAAAGAGGTCCGCGCAGACGAGAAGAGTGTACATCCCAGTCGTTCTTCTTCTTCTCGCTCCTCCTCCCCCAAAAACCACGCCTTTTCTCTACGACTTGTAACTTTCTGGAAATCCCCACTCCTGCAAGGAGCAGCAGGAACAATCGACACGAAAAGCTGAAAATCAAGAGGCACCCAACACAGCCGCATCCATAACCAGCAGCCGCAAATGAGAAAACAGAGTCCGCGTGGGGGGAGGGCCAACGCAAAAGGGGGCAGCAGAAATAAAAAAAAACGCGTAATTAACCTTTTTCTGTCCATACTTCCCCTGAACCAGAATGAATTTTAATGTATATATATATTTCGGCAGATGTGGTTGTTCGTGTTTCTGTCGTGGCCTTTGCTCTTCGATGAAATAGTTAGTGTTTCCTTCTTTTTGGTACGCCGATGGTCCTAGAGAGGAATTAGCCGGTTTTGATTCTGTCGGAACAGCTTTGCAAGAACAATAATGAGGGTGTGGAGCGCCAAAACATCCTCCCTCCTCACATCACCCATTGCGTTGTACGCTCTGCGAGGGGCGTTGTCACCGCTGCGTGGGGCAAAGGCGTGAACAATGGCCCCGCGGTTTCCGCCCTGAATCCCATGCGCCTCACCCAACGTCCGGATTTGCTGACAGCAGACCCGAAAAAGCTCGTGGACTAGTCGATCTAAGTCCGGCTCCAGTGGCGTGTCCACAGCAGACAAACAGGCGTACAGCCAGATCCCATAGCCAGTGGAGCGATGGATGAAGTTCCCAGATGCATCCTCCACATCAACGGGCATAAGGACGCGCAAAAACGAGAGGAGGGAAATTGTGTCTTCGCTGGCGCCACTATCATACAGCGGTGGTAGGCTTGTGAACAACGCGGGTCGGTTATGATGTACATTCGTCACCTTTTTATTTTCCTCCATTACGTCACGAGGTTCTAAGACGTCCTCGCCATAATTTCTTTCTTCCTGTTCCTCATCATCGACATCGGGGCTTTCGCCGCGTTCCACAACATTTTCTTCCAACGGATGAGACGCATGTGTCACTGGTTTCATCCCCTGTTTATACCACTTCAGCATCTGGTTCACCAAAGCAGTAAACAGGGCCGTTGTGCACGCGCTATCTAGCCACACCAAGAGTGAGAGCGGCGGTGCATGACCGCATTCCGGACCATGCTCGCGCAGGTACGTCTCCCAGAGCCGCGGTGTAGATGAGTCGGGAACACCTCTCGATAAAGCTTTGGAAGCGGACAACCACCTCACAGCACTGACAACACGTTTCTTCGTGCGAAATGCGTCACGCGAAGTAAGTTGCGACAACGCGTCCCGCAATTCCAGCCAATTCCAGTCCGTCGTGTCATCGACGGCGTCACTGTCGCCGTTCAGCGAGGCATAGTTCACCACATCTTCTACCCCACTACGCAACGCTAGGAGACGCTCGCGCGCGGCGTTCATACGCGCCACGGACAACTCCGTGTAGTCCACTGTTGGCGCCTGAGCTGCGTCGAGAGTAGCGTTGCCTAGTGTACGCCCGGGAAACCACTTCTCCATCAAAGTGATCTTTGCACCGTTGCGAGGCTTCTCGGCAGGAGGACGGGAATGCAAGGAAGAACAAATGGAAGCCGCCGCCGCAGGGGTCACAGCGGCAAGACGAGGGGAAGCGACATTGTCGCTGTCGCCGTCACTATCACTGTCATGGCCGCGCTTTAGCTTCTTCATGGGCAAACGCATGGGCAGCTCTGAAGCGCACTCGGCGACCTTTTCCTCCACTACGCCCGCTCTCTTCTGCGAGAGAGAGGAGTGCCCGCGGGCAAAGTGCTTCCATTTCAGTTTGGAGGCAAGCCGCAGGTAAGCCTCCGCACCACTGTCCGTGGTTTTCTCACCCATGACCTACGAAAGAATGGGCTACGGTGTACGGTTTCCCTAACAGAAAGATGAGATGAGGAGAGGACAAGGCTTGGTATCCGTCTTCGTGCTCTCTTTGTGAAAGTATGCAGCTGTGCACCCCGTCACTAATAGAAAGAGAATCCACGACGATTCCTCATTTATACATACATCGCGTAAGCCCCGAAGAAAAATGGCGGAGGTGCTGGAAGCACCTTTCACCCCCGCCTCTCGGGCGGGGGCTTGTCTTCTGGCAAGTTGGGCGCGCAACGCCTGCGCCGTGCGATAACCCCCGACAGTGACACATCTGCTGGGGACGGCATTGGCGCACATTTGCCAAGAAAGCACAGGACCGCGCCATTTCCCAGTCACAAGCTCGCCAAAAATAAATAAATAAATAGCAACAACAAAAACCTCCTTTGCTGTTTGCAACATTCCTCCACCCGCCATAAGAGCAGAATCTCAAAGGGAGCACAAGACTGTGGTGGGCCGACGCACACGGAAAAAGATCAGCGCGGGCATCGTCCAAGAAAAAGTGGTGGAAAAACAGAGGAGAGTGATATCAACAGAAAAACAGCAACAACGAGAAAGGCAACTGAACTTTCAGCACTACCCCCTCTAACCTCGTCTAAACTACATTGCACACCCAAGGGCAGAGAAAACAAGGAAACCGAAACAGCCAACCCGCAACCCTCGGCGTGTTACCCAAGGGAAGAAGAACACCAACACCTGTTCAACACCACGTGGAAAAGAAACTAGTTCCCTCCTGTTTTGGATGATAGCCGCGCCCCGCTCGCCTCCGCGTCCTCCCGCGAGATGTAAGTTTTTTTGATTTCTGTCGGTAATATGTACCTCTCATATAACTTTTGTTCTTTTTCCTTCTCTCGCTTCATTCCCTGCAGGTACATGTCTTCCACAAACTTTTTAAGAGGGACCTTGGGAACGGTTTTCATGGGTTTGAATAAAAACCGCTCCTCTGCCTCCTTGCGCGACGCATTGCGCCTTTCGAGAGTGTCGTAATAAATACGCTTCACCATCTCCTCCACCTCATCGCCTGGCAGCTTCTTCGAGACAAAGCCCCACTCCTTCTCCTCCCTTTCCTTCGCATCACGGAGCGCCTGTTCATGGTGCTGGCAAGAATCATAGAACACGCGCTGAGTGACGGCGTCAATCTCCCCCTGCGACCGCTTTACGGATGGACACACCGGAAAGGGGTCATGCACCACAGCTGGGGGCGGCCGATACGTCAGCCGCCGAATCTGATCCTCCAGCTGCTCCGTCGTCAACCGCGGTGCCGGCGGGCCTGAATGCTCCTCCACCATCGCCACTTCGGCACAACAGAGGGAACACGGGGAAGAACTGGAAAACAGAACCAAAGCTGGGCCCATTCCCAGCCGCAAACAAGGCACTAAAAGCCTCATATATATATATATATATATAAATAATAAATATATCAGTGTAACGCAAATTCCACACACGCTACAATAAATAACAAATAAACAAAAAAAACGCAGAGAGAACTACGCAAAGCGCAGCAAGGAACTGCCCCCCCCCCAAAAAAAAAATAAAAAAATAAAAAAAATAAAAATAAAAAAAAATTCAGCTCTTACCAGTCAAAGACTCAAGCAAAATACACCCCCATTACGAACTGCCAGCGACGTAGAGCGACCCCGACTCCTTGTCGTCGTCGGCGCGGTTGTAGCGACCGAGCTGCGCAAGCGAGTTCATCATGGCCCGGTGCATAAAGGCACGGCGACCAGCCGCGATGCCGGAGTCCTTGCCGCCCCACGCCTTGAGGGCGCTCGACTGAAGGGCGCGGGCGTAGGAGAAGCTCAGACTCCACGGGCGAGGCAGACTGCAACGGTTCATGGCGTTCAGGTACTCCGAGGCCTGCACTCGTCGTACCGGCACAAAAATAATAAACAGAAGACAGCACACGCGTGCAGGACAAGCGTCACCGCTGACCCTGCACGGCAACGGAGGCCCCAGCAGCCACACGGAGGTGTGTGGGGACATCGAGGAAGCCCAGCGCCCACGCCCTTGCCGTCACCCGCCAAAGGCCCTCACTCACGGCCTCCCAGCCACCACCTCAATCCAGCAGAAAAGGCCCACACGCCACGGGCCCCGCGAGCGCGTCACGCATACTCAACCGGCAGCCAGCTGCAGCAGCCGTACAACTCCCGGCGCCAGTCCCTCCTCCCACGCCACTCGCACGCCGCCCCTTCGCCAACAGAAAACATACTCCCTCACAGTGTCGGGTTCGTGCGCATGACTCGGCCTTCTTCTGGTCGCCGCATGGGCGGACGGCACGCGCAAGAGGATAAAAAAAAGGGTGGGGAGAAACAAGGAAGTGCCTAG